TTTTTGCTCCATATATACATATATATATATATATATATAGCACTCTCACTCTACACTAGGAAGGATGTATCGTCGACTGTGTAAACGTTAACGTCATATTTAAACCAAACAACTGCAGTACAACGAGAATCATTTGTCATCTTCTGGTGACATCAATCTACGAATCACTTCATTATGCATTTTTATAGAAAATGAAATTGTTACTATGTATGAACAGAGTAACTCTTTTATTTAAGTAATTCTGCTTGAATGGCTAAACTGACCAGGCCCAAATAACTTAATTTGAAATAATAAAATAAATAAATAAATAAATATATATATGCGATATCACGTTGGTGCACGTTTTTATTTTCATCCGTTTATTTTAGCCTCTCTTTATTTTTTAAATTAAGATTTTTGGGTCTGGTCAAGCAGAATTCCTTAAATAAAAAAGTTACTCTGTGCATGCATAGTAAAAATTGCGTTTGTATAAAAATGCATAATGAAGTGATTCGTAGATTGATGTCACCAGAAGACGACAGATGATTCCCGTTGTACTGCAGTTTTTTGTTTAAATATGACGTTCACGTTTACACAGTCGACGAGACATCCTCCCTAGTCTAAAGTGAAGAATGCTATCTTAGGAGATTCATCAAAACCTGCCTTTCCTTCGAATAAACACGCATTTTAAGAATTTCGTCTTGTAACTGGTGTCTCTTCGATCCTTTTTCAAGGTTCGTATTACCTTTCTTATACTACCCTCTCAATGCCCCCAAAACTTAACCTCGTTACTTCAGTCTTTATCTCATATGGCTTTGGTATGACTTGGAGCAGTTCCTTTTCTTTTCTCCAATTGCCTGATTTGCCTAATCTACTCATGGGTCAGCCAACTCTTTCCTGGGCTTCTCTTATTCTATCACTGTTTCCGGAATATCATGATCTCCCGAGTTGTAGAGACAATAGTCTCATATATGGGCGTAGGCTTCCGATCCATGCTCTACATCCTAAACTTTTAGCTTTTTATTTTTCTAATTTTTTGTGATCTTTAGCTGCTCCTTTGGCCATTTTTCTGGCTTTCTAGTGGTTTTTTGGCCAGGTCATTCGCGGCCGCCACTTCCACACTTGAATGGCCAGGTTGGGCCTTTTGGAATCATAACTATATCTGCAGAAGGTATACGTCAGTTCCTTGAGGTCTTGGCAGCACTATTTCCACTTTTTCTACTAATTAAGACACAGAAGAGAGACCGAATTGCCTGAATCCTTGCCTTATTCGGCTTTAACCGATCACACATTTATATAAGTTCACAGCTCGCTTTAACAATGTCTTTCTTGCCTCACTTTGAAACAATCTGAGATCTGAAATAAGAAAGTTGTTGTTCAACATCCCGCCATCACTTCATACACATTCTATTTTATATTTTGCTAGTCACAACAACTTGGCTGAGCTTTGCAATGAATGATCACGAGGCCTCGAACAAAAATTAAGTCTTTTATCCTATTTTACTTGTTGGCAGAAACTAAAGAAAATCATGATGTAGATCACATTTAAGCTAACAAAACCTAAGGACAAGTTCACTTATTGTATCATCCTTCTTTACTACCTATTTATTGTAGGCCTTGCTGGTGTTGTCATGGGGTTCTCATGTACACAGGATCATATCATTATGATTCTATCGTTCTTCCATTCCGGCCTGATACAAGCAACCGCCATTCCATTATCATTACCCCGCAATTGCTAAGCAGTTTGAGTATGCTCAACTTTCCCTCGATCGGCACCTGTGATTCCATTTGATCTATGGACTGCCCTGCGCAAAGAGGCTGTGCATCCACTCAGGGTCCTCATAAATTCTCCTCCATTGACATTGGCAGTATACATCGGGCAGTCAACCGAGATCCTCAGCTCTCTTGTCTGAACCGAAGATACCGGCTCAATCATTCCTCCTCCAGCTCGTCTGCTCTGTTTCTTCCCTCCAACCGCTTGACCACGCCATCGCCTCCATTTGTGACTCTTCTACCTTCCACTCCATCCCACCTTCCATCGTTCTCTTTTTCTTCGAAGCTCTCCTCGTTCACCGTTTATCCCACCTCTTCTGCACCTCTGCTCTCCACGAGGCGCACCATTTGGGCTGCCCGCCTGCTTCTCGTCCTCTTCTGCTATGCTAGTCGACCACTAGCTTCTGCCTTAATAAACTCTGCCAGCTCTGAAAATGGGCCCAGCCTCGTCGGCTTCCCTCAAGTCCCTCTAACATACGGTGAGGCACTTGAGTATCTTGCCACGGTTGACAAACTGCTAGTCAATGAGTTTCAGCCGGAATGGCCAGAAAAGGCTAGTGATCATTCGCTGGGAAAAAAGGCTTCCAAATTCATATTCTTTCAGGCCGACTCAGCCAACCCTCCGGATGCGCTACCTGCGGCCGCGGCGGCGGCAGCAGCAGCAGCCGCGGCGGTGGCTTTGGAACCGCTATTTGAGCTGGAATCGCCACAAATGGGATTATTCGGTCAGGCTGGGCAAGCCAATGCCTCGAATCCTCATCATTATGCCGTCTATCACCCGGGCATCTCAAATTCTGTATCATTCTTCTCCTCGGACCCCTTTGTCAGCATGCTGCTTGACGGGATTTTAGCCCTGTTGGCCATCATCTGCAACTCGTTCTTCATTGTCCACGCGTCGGCAATCCTCTTCACACGCTACTACCTTTACCATCCATCGCCAGTTAGGTCACAATCCTCCTGTCCAACCAGTACGTTCACATCTCGAACGGCAGTCTGCAGTCCGGTTGGGTTCAGGTTCGTGGTCGGCAGGCTTTTCCGACATCTTTTTCCCGCTCGCATGTCGAGCAAACACTGCCCTTCAAGCCACTCTGATAACGAGGCTCTGACCTCAACGGCAGACGATACATCCGGCACCAAGTGCACTGGCGATTTAGATGCAATTGCCAATGAAACTGCGCCTTCCCCACCTCTCGCGAAGAGTGTGACCGCAGACTTAGGCCTCGATTGCATGCGTATCACGTCTTCCTGCAATTTGTCTGCTGGCTCGAACAAATGGCCTGTCGTTAATACGAGCTGCGACGACATTTTGGTCGAAGAAGCCGCCAGGGAGTCATATCGGCGCCCAAATGGCCATCTCGATCCGACATCCCCGGACCCAAAGACGACTGGATTGCGCCTCTCCAGCGACCTTGTCTCTTCTTCGTGGCTTCCAGGAGTCTCTATTCTGAAACCACTGACCGGCATAGATCCGAATCTATGCGTCAACTTGCGATCATACTTTCTTCTCGATTATCCTTGCTATGAATTGCTCTTCTGTGTGCCTGAGCTGGAAAACCCAGTATGCAGGTTGGTGGCCGAATTGATGCTCCAGTATCCAAACGTTGACACCCGTCTTCTTGTGGGCGCCTCGCATGTTGGCATCAATCCGAAAATTAATAACCTGCATTTGGCCTATGAGTCAGCTCGCTATGAGCTCATTCTCATTTCCGATTCCGGAATTTACATGAGAAGTGACACCTTAACTGACATGATTGACGTGATGCTATCTGAAGACAGAGTTGGCCTTGTTCATCAAGTGCCATTTATCTATCCCCACCTCCTGTCCGTGGATGCTAAAATGGACCAGAGCGATGGGTCTATGCACAAAAGATACGAGAATCAACTTGCAGCAGCCTGCTTAGCTGGTCGTCGTTCCTTTGGGGTTGGACTCACTTTTGGCTCCCCAGAATCATCATGCCCAAAGGTGAGTAAACGATACATTATGTATGTACTGGTGATCTCGGTGTTTTATAGAAATCGACGAGATACCAATTAAAAAATAACTATCGTTGATCCAACCATTTTTATTTTTTATGCATTTTAAAAATCATTACAATCCTCATAAATAATATTCTAACAATAATATGATATTTAAGTATCTAGTGCCCCAATATATGTCTTTACAGCTCAGAGCCAAGTCATGGCAAAATATGAAAGGATGCATAAGGCAATCTCTAGGCCTTGACATCTTGGCATCATTCTAATTTCAAAGATTTCAAAGGCTTTCATCATATTTGCCTATTGGATAGCACACCCCTACTTCTTAGACTTTAATGGGCCACTTCTGACATGACGATATGATCATTTCGATGGTATATTATAATACTTACCTCAAAGGCTGGCATTTTTTGATAAGTATTTGCACTTTTCTAAATGCATTTTACAGCTAGAAATGCATATTTTGATCCGTATTCTTTGAACATAAAAGCATTTGACTTACTCTATTATGAAAAGATGCCTCCTTCTTTGAATCCAGTATTGAACGTCAGTGTAATAATCGGTTATCTGCAGATGTAACTCATTGAAAATAATCAAGATCTTGTCCTTCCTCAGGTTCATATGTTCCTCAGCGTTTGTTTCAACTTATGTGCACTCATCAAATACGATCATATTAATATTCATGTGCAATAAAACAATATGTGATCTCTTATCTGGTTTTTTACTGGTTGAGTATGTTGACGATATAAATATCTCGCGAATCACTGTCGGCGAACAAGGCATATCCGGTTGCTTTTACTCCTACATTTATTGCTTTTCTGATAATTATTGAACCCTCTTTTATGCACATTCGTATGCTAAAATGAATGCGAAGAAAAGTTGGGTTTCGAGGAATCTCTTGTTTCATAATTGTTGAGCATACTTCCATTTCGAATGAAAGTGTTGGGTGAACAGATTCGAAGGTCAATTCCACCAGAAGACGACTGC